ATTATTATTTGTTTATCTAAACGGACCACTTTGACGTAATAGCAAAGTATTCTAGCCATAAATCCAATTACCAGTCAGCACACTAGTATACGTGCAAGATCTCACTCGGACTTTTGATCATTTTGAAAATGAAGCAAACGCGCCGCGTGGCAGAACAGAAACTACTTCTTAGCTGGAGGATGCCCGCAGGGAAAAGCTCTGCCATAGTATCATGCGAGAAAGGACGATTTGACGAATACTACATCGGACAGAAAGGAGAAAATCTGTTGAGCAGCATCTATTTCCATTCAGTTTGCATCTAGTGGCCAGTATGCTATTATGGAGCTGCTAGTAGTATATACATACGAATACATGCACAAGGCAGCGAGCGAAGCGGGACGGGACACTGCACAGAGCGGCGGAGTTTATCTGCGTACGCAGCCACGTGTTGTTGTTGCCGCTGCTACCTACTGCTGTGCTTCTCTGCGGAGTCATGACAATGGATCTCTCGAAAGCCAGCCAGAGAAGCCGATGTTACGAGCGAGAGGCTCTGATTAGAATGCTCGGCCTCTCTGGTGGGACTTTAATTTTCTCCTTCGGTTCTTCGCGCCTTTTTCGAGTCCGCTTTCTCAAGTTTTGAGATTTTTGTCTTATGTGCTGCAGCAATACGAACGACTCGACACGTTGGTGCGGCCGTGCACAAGACGATTTCCATGCAAATTGCTCGCTTACGGTACAACTTTTCAAAGGGAAAATTGCTCGACTCACTTTCGGAGTGCGTCTCTTGACAATTGCAACGAGCTAATACAACCCTATTATTGTCAAACTTAGCTCGATCTACAGAGTCGCGCTGATGGTCAACTTTTCGTGATAAATTTCACAATAAAAATTCTCATTAACGTTTTTTTTTTGCGCGACAGTAAAGTAGCTGATACTTGCCAAAAAAAAGTTGTAAGGAGAAGCGCGTCGTCGTCGGCCAAGACGATAAAAATCAAAATATAGAAACGAGGTAATAATATTTGCACCTTCATATGCACGCGCGTCGAAAGAAAAAGAAGCACGTCGACGCATGTAGATCAAGAAAAAGGGGGAAGAGGTTGGGTCTACGAGGCTCAAATGGAAAATTGAATTTTCTCGTTTATAAAAGCTCGTTTCGCGCAGCGCTGCGAGCTAGCTGCTGCAGCTTTTTCTGTATATACTTGTATATGTACGATCGACTCGCATAGCTATATAGATAGAGGGCATTAAGCGCATATACGCACACCATACACTTGCTTGGCACACACGCGCGTAGTCTATATACTATTTATACTCATATCCCTCTTCAAACCTGGATGAGCCGTAAACTCGCGTAAAAGTACCTGCGTTTGCTACCCTGAGAGAGAGTTTCCTTTTTCTTGTTTTATTACATCAGCCGCTATCGGTTTCGAACGTGATGTACCTTTATATACATATGCACACACAAGCGAAACGCTAGTATATATACTTGCGATGTTCTCGCCGTAGTCTCTGGCTTGTGTGTGCTTCGACGCGCTCGGCGTTTATTCTTTCTTTCTTTTCTCCTTTTTTTTTGCGATGGCTCGACTCGCTATCCGACCATGTATGTGTGTATTATTATATATAGCACTGCGAGACGCTCCTTCTCATGCGTGCGGGTATATAGTCGTGTGCGGCTGCCGCGCGCAAAGAAAAGATGTGCCGCACCGATAATGCATGCCAATGCTACGATACTGCCGTATACACGAACACCTATACTCGAGAGCAATGAACGAGGAAGACTGTCGCGATCTGCAGCTTTCCATGTATAATACAAGCTCCAAATGAAATTGCATTGTTGTGGATCAATCGAGCAAAATTTTCAATAGAACCGATCAATGCTCGAATGAAAATTGAACAATATCGTAATGGATTTTTTGATTTTCAGGGTATACTATTCACTATGATCAAGTTTTGAGACAACGATTATGCTGTTAATTTCATGAAAAAAAACTACTTATCCAACTCTTTTTATTGTTATTTACTTTCAAAATTTTACGATACTATCTCGGTCTCGAGAGAGAGAAAGTGAGCATCGAAGTGCAAGTCAGTCCTGCAGCTCTTCGGCGTCGAGGTTGTTTTCCCGGCGATATATAGCCCTCGCAAGTCCGCGCAAGGCCAATAATGCGCCAAGATATGAGATTTTTCATCGTGTAGTTTACAACCCCGCTGCAGAGATTTATTCTCTGTTTTGCCGAGGCATTTTTCCATTGGGCGTGTGGACATTTTCACGATCTTTTTGTGTACATACATATTTACTGCATTTTCCATATAATAGAGAGGGAAAAATGTCAAATTATGAATAAATGCATCCGAAATTGATATTTATAAGAATTTTTTTACGATGCTTACTCGGTAGTTTTTTGCAGCTTTAATAAAAAGATAGCGAGTATGATTTCGTATACTTGAGACAAACAATACCTGTGTGGCTTTGTATTTTAAAATCAAAGAAAAATTACATTGTATATTATCGGGTAGAATCTTTATTTGGATAATATTCAACATTAAGTTGTGAGCTTAAAACATGTAACGGTATATGTGATAAGACCACGATTGCTCTTTAAGCCTTATAACTTGGGTTGGAGTATGACAAAAAAATTAATATATTTCAATCCGCTGATAGAAATGCTCAACATGAATAATTACGTAATGATCAAGAAGCGACCAATAAACATTTTTTTTAAATGCACCGAATAATAATTTATTTAATTTTTTTCGGCATTTCTTCGTCTGTCTCAATTATATTCTATTACAAATATTCTAGAGATTTAAATAAATTGAAAATCACAATTCAATTGTTTTAAAAAAGCTAGACTATTTTTACCACTTTAAAATACGATAATACCATTTTAAGTTTGCGACACTAGGTGGCGAAAAATTACATCTGTAAAGCTGAAAGTGGTAAAGTAAAAATAATAGTATAAAATCAAAAAAATAAAAAATTACTAAAGTAATCTAATCTACTTTTCGATCCACCCTACTGTATTAGCTCTTCACATAACACCCGTGACGTTGCATACAATATTTAGCTGTACCAAATATTATTGAGTATCATATTATTAATACAAATAAAAAAGCTGTCCTCTTTTGTGAACAATAATATCTCCTTAGTACACAAGTAAAGAATAGTATATTTTTTACTCCCTAGATGCAAAATATACTATAATACTAGGATTTTCTAGTTATTTTTAATGTTATGCATAATGTCCAAAAAATAATTGAATTCGAGTTTTTCTATGTTAGCCGCTTCAAAGTCTTATTTTCATAGAGAGCAAAGATTAAAGATTTAATTCACATTTCTTTTATTTATTTTCATCTTTTCCTAGCTCTCAGTCTCAATACGTTTTAATCGCACACTGGACCTTCGTTTTTTCAACCAATTCTAACGTCAGGGGAGTAAATAAGGCGAAAAAAATAGTTTCACAAGCACAGGTCTTTCACGCTTTATTTTGCTCTTTTAAGACTTTTTTCTATTGGAGGATCTCACATACTCACATGTACAGTTATAGCTCATGGGTATAGGTAGGTACACACGCGGAATGGGAGTGAGTTTGCTGTCCCACTTGCTCTCTCAAAGACTCACTGGTCTGTATGAAGTTTCGTTGCCCAACTCTCAATTCCTCTATTTAAAAAATAGAAGAGTTAAAGCATGAAACTATAGATAGCAACAATCTAGCACTATATATATTTTTTGTCAAAGATTGTAATCGAGGTCGTTGTAACTTATCTTAGATCTAATGGCACCCCTTCTACCTCACTATTTTTCGTTGTAACTAGAATTTTTTTCATACTCAAATTAGTTTGAGTGTGACAGGTTCAAATTCATTATTATTTTTTAATTGAAACAGGTAACTAGAAGCGGCAGAGAAAGAACAGTTTTATCAATCAGTTTTGTCGGAATATCAATTTGAAGAAATATTTTACTATTCTGTTCAATTTTAGCCAGCTCAAGAAGGGTACGTAATATTTTAAAATAAAAATATTTGTTCGGTAGTCAACCAAATATTCTAAAAAGTGATACGCGTATCGTTTAGTTGAAAGTGAAGATTTAGCGATTGCATTGTATAGCTCTAAGGTAATATTTACTTGATTGAATACAAACATAAGCTTGAAGACAAGATTTTTGAGTCGATTAATTTTTTTGTTATGCATTGTATTGCTGCAAGAACAAATAATCGAGGGTAATGATTTGACTTTGATTGTTTTATTCTCATTTCAAATGATGTGAATAATAATCTTTCAAACTTTATACAGAAGTGTATACAATGCCGTAGATAAGACACGATAGCAATGATGTTCGAGGAATTCTGCAAATTATCAATAAAAAAAGATCGATAATATTTATCGAAATTTCATCTTATTTTTTCCATTGATGTCGTTGATGGCAAGAATAGAAATTAGGAAAAAAGTCAAATAATATAGACGAAAAAATATTAATTAGTTTCTTTTAAAAAATAGTAGAAAAAGAAAGAGCCCACGGTAATCTTTAGAAAGAATCGTTACTGACACGTGCTACCGCCTTATTATATTGAATACACGCGAAGAAAAAAGTTTGTTCGATCAAATTATATGGGCAATTGTGTCCGAGAGCGAAAAGCGACGAAATAAGCAGTGTCAAACTATTCAATTGCTTTTATTGGAAATGAACATTGACAAGTACTTAATACTGAGTAATTTGCAATAATATCTATTTATATTATGTCTTACAATTTTAGCGTCTTCATAAGTAAAAATTTAGAGCAGAAAGAATTTTCACAAAATTAATATCATTATTATGAACCATGAGCTAGACAACTCTACTAACTCTATTTATTTTTTGCACAAAAACTTAGATGACAAAACTTTAATTAAATCGACATAATTGTGTTTAATCAGATGTACTTTCACGAGCGGATAAGGTTCCACCACACCGAAAATCGAGTTAATCTTATCAATCAATGCTGAATTGTATCGTAAGAGATGATCGCAGGGACATGAACAAATTATCGTATATAAAACGCAGGAAAATCAACAATCGGACAGTAGCTACCCGATAGCCTCACAGTGAGTATTCGCGGTTGCTTTTTTATGTAGTGTTTATTCAATTTTTTTCTTTATTTTTACAGAAAAATGAAGAACGCGTTCACGGTTTTTCTGGTCCTGGCTTTGTCCGGGACCGCAATGGTAACTTGTTTACCAAAACCACAGACGAGAGGATTGAAAGAAGATTTTCAAGATTTTCTGAATTTAATACCAGTGGAAAAAATCAAAGAACTGTTCTATGACTACATCATGGAAGATGAAGATTTTGGAGAGGCTATCGACTACATCATGTCCGAGGAGTTCAAAGCTATGGTTACAGACATCGAGGGCATGTATGAAGTCAAAGAGTTGATGAACTATTTGGAAGAGGCTGGTCTCCCTGCCTATGAGTACGTCAACAAATTGAATGACTACCTCGAAATTCCACACATTCATCCGCGTATGAGGTTTGGGCTTATGCGAAGGACTGGAGGTATCCCTGGCTTCATCAAGGACGTCAAGGCCCTCATTCCGATTCACGAACTGGAAAAACTGTACAAAGAAAAATTGCACACGTCGAAGGATTTCGCCGCCCTCATTCAAAAGCTGAGCTCTCCCGATTTCCAACACTTGGTTGACAAAATTTTGGCTATGCCCAAAATTCAGGAAATTATGCACAACGCGAAAGAAAAGGGCGTAGATCTACAAGAGCTTTTTGATTTCTTGTCTTCGCTTTTGGGACTCAAGTTCCCGAAACCAACCTTCAGGAACGTGAGAAACTTACAGGATGATTTGAACGACTTCCTCGCTCTTATCCCAGTAGAAAAAATCCACAAAGTCTTCATGGAATACGTGGAAGAGGATGAAGATTTTGGAGAGGCTATTGACTACATCATGTCCGAAGAATTCAAAGCTATGGTAATGGAAATCGAAGCTATGTACGAAGTCAAACAGTTGATAAACTATTTGGAACAAGCTGGTCTTCCTGCCTATGAGTACGTCAACAAATTGAATGACTACCTCGAAATTCCACACATTCATCCGCGTATGAGGTTTGGGCTTATGCGAAGAACTGGAGGTATCCCTGGCTTCATCAAGGATGTCAAGGCACTTATCCCGGTTGATAAAATGGAAAAATTGTACAAAGAAAAATTGCACACATCAAAGGACTTTGCCGCTCTTATCCACAAGCTCAGTTCACCGGACTTTCAGCACTTGGTTGACAAAATTTTGGCTATGCCCAAAATTCAGGAAATCATGCACAACGCTAAAGAAAAGGGCGTAGATCTACAAGAGCTTTTCGATTTCTTGTCTTCGCTTTTGGGACTCAAGTTCCCGAAACCAACCTTCAGGAACGTGAGAAACTTACAGGATGATTTGAACGACTTCCTCGCTCTTATCCCAGTAGAAAAAATCCACAAAGTCTTCATGGAATACGTCGAAGAGGATGAAGATTTTGGAGAGGCTATTGACTACATCATGTCCGAAGAATTTAAAGCTATGGTAATGGAAATCGAAGCTATGTACGAAGTCAAAGAATTGATAAACTATTTGGAACAAGCTGGTCTTCCTGCTTACAAGTACGTCAACAAATTGAACGATTTCCTTGAAATTCCACACATCCGTCCGCGTATGAGGTTTGGAATTTTTCGAAGGACTGGAGGTATCCCTGGCTTCATCAAGGATGTCAAGGCACTTATCCCGGTTGATAAAATAGAAAAATTGTACAAAGAAAAGTTGCACACATCAAAGGATTTTGCCGCCCTTATTCACAAGCTGAGCTCTCCCGATTTCCAACACTTGGTTGACAAAATTTTGGCTATGCCCAAAATTCAGGAAATCATGCACAACGCTAAAGAAAAGGGCGTAGATCTACAAGAGCTTTTCGATTTCTTGTCTTCGCTTTTGGGACTCAAGTTCCCGAAACCAACCTTCAGGAACGTGAGAAACTTACAGGATGATTTGAACGACTTCCTCGCTCTTATCCCAGTAGAAAAAATCCACAAAGTCTTCATGGAATACGTCGAAGAGGATGAAGATTTTGGAGAGGCTATTGACTACATCATGTCCGAAGAATTCAAAGCTATGGTAATGGAAATCGAAGCTATGTACGAAGTCAAAGAATTGATAAACTATTTGGAACAAGCTGGTCTTCCTGCTTACAAGTACGTCAACAAATTGAACGATTTCCTTGAAATTCCACACATCCGTCCGCGTATGAGGTTTGGAATTTTTCGAAGGACTGGAGGTATCCCCGGCTTCATTAAGGATGTCAAGGCACTTATCCCGGTTGATAAAATAGAAAAATTGTACAAAGAAAAGTTGCACACATCAAAGGATTTTGCCGCCCTTATTCACAAGCTGAGCTCTCCCGATTTCCAACACTTGGTTGACAAAATTTTGGCTATGCCCAAAATTCAGGAAATCATGCACAACGCTAAAGAAAAGGGTGTCGATCTACAAGAGCTTTTCGATTTCTTGTCTTCGCTTTTGGGTCTGAAATTCCCTAAGCCTACGCTTCGATCGGAGCAGGAAGTTATTTCAATTTTGAAGGAAATATCCGAGATGGTGCCAATGGATAGTGTCCTTGATATTGTCTTAGAATATTTAACGACCGATGAAGAATTCAATAAATTTATTATGTTCATTGTAAGTGATGAATTTAAAGAAATTTTAGCATCCATGGAACAACTTCCAGAAGTCAAAGCTTTCCTCAGATATCTGAACGATGACATTGGCTTGGATGTTTACAAAGTCATGGATGACTACCATGCTGTACTAGGAATGGAAAAGTTTCAACCTCTTTTCGCCAGAAAAGTTACCGGCGGTGGACTTGCAGGACTGATGCAAGATCTTAAAAAGGTTCTGCCTTACGATGATCTCGACGAAATATACCAAAGAAAATTGGAAACTTCTGCTAAATTTAGACAATTCGTCGATCGTCTGCAACATAAGGAACTTTTGGATGCCGTAAAAGCATTGGAAAATCATGCTCCATTCCAGGTTTTAGTCAAGAAAATGCAAGAATTTGGACTTGATATGAATGAGTTTACCGAGATGATGGGAAAGATGACAGGAATCAGATTTCCCCCGAAACCATTGTAAAGGCAAGTAGCATATTTTAAATGTCTAATTTAAATAAAAGTTTTAATAGAATTTGATTAATAAAAACATTTTTCTTTTCTTACAGAATTAATTTTTAAGACCGAGAGCCCGACACAGCTGAATAAAACGTCAAAAGTTTTAAAATTGGAAGAAAATATTTTTATACATGAATGACTTTTTATATTTTGCGAAATTAAATATAGAATTTTTGAAATAATCTACAAGAATTTTCTTTGCATAACCAATTTAAGCTATACCTCACTTCACACCTTCTACGTGTATATCGTAAACAAATTTCCTAACCAAATTTAAGTCAAAATTTTTCGTAAAGAGTTAAATACTAAAATATTTATAAAAAATGAAACATAAACAGTCATGACTTCGTTTTTGTAATTAAATTATATTTTATGCGCCATTCACCTGGAAATGGGTAACTAATATTTTCATTGATACTTGCAAAATAATATTGTTTTTAAGAAAGATTTCGTATTTTCTCCTGAAGAACTTCAAAAACTGGTTACTTATCACAAGAAATATGAATAGAGTATCTATAGCTATTGGTGCATTTGCTGCTTTATCTTTCGCGTGCGCTGGTTTTCTCTACAGTCGAAAACGTTTCAATGCCGAACTTAAAAAGAAAAAAGCCCTTGAGCAAGATTTACAAGACATCTTAAATATACTTCCTCTGAGTGATATTCGATGTGTCATAGAAAAGTATGCAAGACACGATAAACAAATTGCTAGGACCATCACTTTCATTAATGATCAAGGACAATTCATACTCAAAGAATTGAGAAAGATTCCCGAAATGCATCTGTTCACGTTCATCTTGTTGGAGCTTGGTTTGAACGTAGATCATTGGATTCAAGAACTGACAGTATTTTACCAAGCTTTACCAAAATTCGATCACGAGAAACCAGAAGAAGCGGACGGAGGTTTAACGGGAATGGTATGTCGCATTATGAGCTTGATCTCGCAGGAAAAAATGAATGCTTTATTGCACGAAAAAGCGGAACGATCGAAAAGTTTTCGGTTCTTTCTGCTATCGCTGAGATCCCAGCAATTTCTAGATTTGTGTCAAGCGTTACGGGATAATTCGGAAATTCAAAGAAATTACTTTTGGGCAAGGGAAGACGACATTGAAGTTGTATTCGCGCTAGAGTTTTTAGGAGATCTCTATGTTTACTTAACGCATAATTTATAATGTGAATACCGATTTATGTTTGTTGAAACTAAATTGAAAAGTAAGATTTAATATTTTCATTATATTATGACGTGAAAATGTAGTTTTTGTATTTTTTCATTTTAAGATAGCCAGCCCAGTAGATGCACAATACGTATTTGAACGATAATTAAAATCATTTTATAATATTTTATGATTGTCACTGCATTTTTACATGACAGTAAAGTACTTTGAATTAATAATAATTACGATCAAGAATAAAATAAAACAATTGTAATGATCATTGAAACAACGAATCGTTCATATCCACTAGGTTGGTCTAGTTCTTTCTACGAATTATAACAAAAAAAATCTATGTTAATTAAAAGGTCATTAATAGAGTCAAGTATTTATACAGAATGTGCATGTGCAGAAGGTCGTTGTCATTATTTTGTATCAGTGAAGATGGATCCAGTTTCGTCGGCGGAGGGCTCTATGTACGTACTTGGCATAATAATGCTCTCCTGACCGACACGAGTCCTATTTCAATTTCATCGGAGTTAATTGGAATTGTTTGCTGCAGCAGACGTCCTCCAGCCGTCTCTTTCTCTTGCTCATCGTAGTGCACCAGGCACAGTATAGTATAATATACAACGCGCGCGCGAATTAAAGGGGCGCGCGCGCGACGCCTCCTTGACTCTCTGACCTCTTACCGGGCGCTGGTGCAGACGACGACGACGATGACGAGGACTGTTTTCTTGAGCGCGAATTAATTTCACGCGACACCTCACCCAGAGCCTGGCTGGCTGGCGACAACAAGCAGCACAAGGAATACAACATGCAGCAGCAGCAGCAGCATTCGAGTACTTTTATTTCTAGCCTTCTCGAATCGCGTCCCATTCGATTCGAGTGAAATTATCCGCTGCGAATCGATCGTGCTCCCGCGCAGTTCTAAACTTTCAAATTATTCAGTTATTAAAATAAGGATTACGAAAGATTCCATTGAAGCCAAAGCTCGCGTAAATTAAACAATGCGCGTGGATCGACTTCGGGGGTCCCCGATGTATACTGCTCGTGTCGAGCCTACCTCCCATTCATATATTCCGCACGTGGAATAACGTCGGTACATAGTTTATGTGTGTATATGCAATGACAGAAAGAGCGAAAGAGGGAGAGAGAGATGTGGTGTATTAAGATGGCAGCTCGAGCTCCGCTCGTGTAACAGGCCGCGAGACAATAGGGCGAGACCGCCACTGCTGCTGCGGCGCACTGCTCAGATATTGAAGACGCCGAAAAGCCGTCTAGTGTGTACCAAACCCAATGTGTACCTAGGCGTCTGGTCTGGGCTCTCTACATTATTAAATCCCTCTCTCTCTCTTTCTCTTGCAGTTTCTTTCTTATATGGTCAGAGGACAATGAGCTTTTACTATACACGGGGCTCGCTTGCGCCGTGGACGTTGCTTGTGCCTGGGCAAAGCTAACCGCCATGACTCTCCATGACAGACCGCAAATTGAGTATATAGAAAAAGGACGAGCTTGACGAGCGCCACAAGCACCCACTTTGAGGACAAACGAATCGATCAACGCTTGATGGTGCGTATCGTGGTATTGCGTTAATTTTTTTTTTTTTTTATATATAATGACTTCGCGAACGACATCTCAGTTTTAAGCATCTTATGCAATGTATATATAGTAGATCGAGCAAAACTGCAATAACACGCTACTTCGGCGCGCGGGAGAAAAAATTTTAATTATTTCTAATTGAATGTGTTATAAAAAGTTTTCAAGGTAATTGGAAGCGATCGACGAGCATAGAAACTAATAAATCATTTTTTCAATCAAAGCCAAATTGCGATAAAGTCCGTATTTTATTGATTCAAAATTCAGAAATTTTTTTCTGCGCGAAAGGGCAATCCTGATGGAATTGAAACTGATTGCAATATTTTTTCAATAGATGTGTCAATATAAACGGCGAGCTTGTATTTGACGAGCGCAATTTTCATTGATCCAAGTAGGTCTCTCTTACTTCAATTTTCTGCGAGTACTCTGTAAATTAAAAAAATGTTGTTACGACAAAATTGTAATATTTTTTAATAGATTTTCACGTTTATCGAAAGTAACGATGCAATTACAAAGTTGCGTTATTCACGATGCGTATTTTTGGTATCGACCGCGCTTAATTTTAAGACAAAAAGAAGAGTCGAGTTATTTTTTTGCCGAGCATAAGAAAGGTCGAATTTCCACTCGTCGTCGTATCAATTCAATTAACAAGACTAAAAGACACGCTTTTGATAAAAGATTTCCAGTTATGCGTCGGAAATGCAATCACTTTTAATAATATACATAACGTACTCTACCTGAGTGCACATCAAAAGAGTTGCTGCAGGAAAGATGCTTTATCGAGCAAACTTGATTTTATTAAGAGAGTTAAAAATATCGCAGTAGTAATTTTATTGACACTCTTCTTAAGATATTTATAAAGTCAGGTAAAAGAAAAAGGTCGCGCGTCAATGGAACCGTGAGCAGTGTGAAATATTTCAACTTTTCTTCACATTCTTCGAAAACTCGCTACTGTTAAAAGCTCATTGAAAGTAATCTTCCGCGAAGTATATTATAGCGGGGGGCGGCGGGCTGCGCACGTAGTAGAACGCGAAATCGAAATGAAAAAATGTGGCCAATAAATATCGATCTTCGATGGGGCCTGCACATAAGACTCATTGGTTATTAGATCATGAGTTCTAATACCCGTTCGTGCCGAACGCGCGCGGGAGAAAAGCGCGCGATACAAATTAATGTCCGACGCGTCAGCGTGCAGAGCTGCACGGGAGGTTGGTTCGTTCGTTCCTGGCTGCGGCCGCTTAGGCAACACCGTAAAAGACTCCATAACGATTATTGTCAGGTCAGGGAATTGGGTATCGAAAGCTCGTTGTACACGTGCACACACGCAGACACACAGACGCACGTTGCACACGAATAGACATATACACGCTCAGCCCGAAATATTTCCAAAGCCGTTCACGTTTTCGTTCGGTTATGCGGCGAGTTGTGCGCGCACACCGGGGGTAAACGAGATTGCGTCGTTTAACCAATCGATTTGGCGGCTACTGTGTATATATGTGTGCACGTGGTAACGTTGACGTTTCTCCACACATCCACACACACACATGCAGCAACAGCAGCACGAGATATGAAATGCGCTGACGATTTTATTTTCTGCGTGTGCGCTTGATTAAGACTCATTCAATGCTCGATTTAGTTTTTAGCTACACACACATATATATTGTATTGTGGATACGTGACGGACCGACCGATCGCCTAGACTCTGTCTTCGAATCGGAAACTTCTATTTTCGCTCGACAGCTCGATTGATATGTGTGTGCACCTGATTTGTTATTTTTCCCGATAAGATTACCAGCTCTGCAAATTCTTATCGGTCGCAACGAGAAATCGTACTCTGCTGTGTATGACTGTGTACTGCAAATATGTTAAAATAACCTTTCTCGCCGATCAGTCTAGCTCTAGTTTGGTAAAAAGCATTGTTATAATTTACTTTTAATGTAAGAAAATACTCGAATGCGAGAGAAAAAATGCCCGAAAATTGAAAGATTCTTTAAATATGCAGACCTTATGTAATTCCTTTATTTTTACTCAAAACAACCAAGCATAACCGTTTAACTGAATTAACTGTCAGCAACGTCATTCGAAACAGGGCGATAACTTTCCAAGGCAATTTAAATGACATCGATAGTAGATACACGACTGTATTATAGGCATACCGTAAGTATAGATTACGTTTAAAGTGCGAAAGAGAAAATGGAGAAAAAGGGAGAACCGAATGTTGACGAGGCAACTTGAGCGCGTGTTCTTGCGAATTTTCCGAGCGATTTCTTTTTGTTGAGCCTTTCTTAACACTTTTCGATGTACCTTTCTTTTATCTCCCTCCGTCGTTCG